CTTCCTCTTTAACCATTGTGGCATGCCGTGTAGTCTTAAAACTTGCTGAATTAATTTATTTCTAATAAAGTGTGGATTGAGTCCCATTAAAATGAACTCCTGGAAGCTATTTTAATTATTTTGTTTTGTGGGAATTTTATAATAGATATAACTTGGCATTAAGAGGGCCATTGACTGTAATCTTTAATATTTTATGTACGTAAATTTTTCTAGTAATGGAATTTGACCTATCATTTTCCATAATTCTGGTTTATAGCTTATCCTGTTAAATATCGTTTTTCAACAAAAGCTGTTGTTGAAAATGGCATTATAAAACCAGTTTTAAATTCTGATTATCCTTGGAGGAAGAAATGAGTTTTTAGAAATTTGTTTTGGTTAGTTTTAAGGATAGCTGTACAGGAGTGGAAATGGAAAGATTGTAATGAACGAGTGACTTTTGTTTCAGAATCAATACAGTTTAAATTTAACACTTTTTTAGCTATGTGTAACGTTATATAAAGTTATAGAGTTGTAATTTAGGTTTCAAAGGGTTTCAGCTAAAAATGTTTCCTAAAATTTAACAACAAAACAAACAAAAGAACCTCAAAACTGACATTGTAAATATTAAGATAGTTGAAATGCAGGCCCTGGCCCAGTAGCTCGTTGGTTAGAGTGTCGTCCACATTCACCAAGGTTGCAGGTTTGATCCCTCAGGGCATGTACAAGAACAACCAATGAATGCATAAATAAGTGGAGCAACAATTTGATGTTTTTTTCTCTCTCTCAAATCAGTAAATAAATAAATAAATAATAAATTTAATAAAAACCTTCTCCTGAGAATGTCAAGGCAAAAACATTTTTATTTTTTTTTTATTTTTATTTTTTTTAAATATATTTTATTGATTTTTTACAGAGAGGAAGGGAGAAGGATAGAGAGTTAGAAACATCGATGAGAATGTCAAGGCAAAAACATTAAAAAAAAAATAGTTGAAATGCCTGTCTGATTCTTACATGGACTCTTCTATGAATCATTATCAGCATTTTTTTTTATTCCCAGTATTACAGCCGCCCACATAGCATTTCCCACATCAAGAAAAATTCCACTTTCTATCCCCAAAGGGTGTGGAAGCATAATAGTCTTTCTTTAAATTAGAGTATTTTGTCACGATGTAATCTATCAACACTATTCAGATTAGAAATAGAGAAATCACTAAGTTTCATGCTCTATTTATAAACTAAACCAAAGTTTCAGTATTGGAAACTGCCTTTTGTAACCTGGCAAGTACAGTCCCACTCGGTTATTCAACTTATAAGCAGCTGTATGGGGAGATAAGTGGTTTTAACTTTGGTTGCTTTCTAAAACAGTCATTTTTCAAGTATAATTTGCTTGTCAAATATTTTTAGATAGCTACAAAATTTATGTTGTAAACATGGAGAAAAGAGACTCTGACTTCTTGAATATTGCTATTCTAATGTCTATCATGGTATGGTTTGTAATCTTACATACTGTAGACCAGGGTCATTAAACTTTCTGTAAAGGGCGAGGTGGAAAATATTTTAGGTTTTGCAGGCTACATGTGGTTTCTGTCAATAATCTTTGTGGGTTTTTTGTTGTTGTTGTTTAGTAATCCCTTTAAAAATGTAAAAAACATTCTTAGCCAGGCTCCATACAGAAATAGGCCAGAGGCCATATTTTGTCCTCAGGCTATGTAGTTTGCTGACCCCTGCTCTAAATCAGTACTGTCCAGAAGAAATATAATTTGAACCATATGTGTAATTTAAAATTTTTTAGTAACCACATTGAAAAAGTAAAAAGCAGATGAAATTAATTTTAATGATATATTTAACCAATTAAATCCATGCTATTATTTCAGTAGGTGACACTAGCCAAATTTCAGGGACTCAGTAATCACATGTATTAGATAGCACAACAGTATACCACAGCTACCCAAAGTATGGGCTGTGAATTGATGCCAAAAAGATGATAAGTTAGGTATAGAAATTAAAAACAAGCATTTAAAATATTTTATAGCAATTTGACAGTTATTTTTATGTCTTTTCAATCTAATAATGTACTTGCATTTCATGTCTTTTTTACATTTCCTATTCCCAGTAATTTATTCTTCTTATATCTTACAAAAGAGTCAGTGCTCTAGATGGTCTCTCCTAGGATTCTGTAGGCCTCTTGAATACATGACAAAAATAAAAAAGATGAGAAATAGTGATGAGATTGTGGCACATAGTTTATTTAGTATTGTTCACACCCTACTTTAGAGCATTGTCCTTTTTTTTTTTTTTTAACCCTCACCTGAGGATATTTTTCCCATTGATTTTTAGAGAGAATGGAAGGGAAGGAGAGAAGAAGGAGGGGAAAAGAACACATAGATGTAAGAGAGAGAGACATCAATTGGTTGCCTCCTGCACATGCCCACTAAAACTAAAGCAATAAAAAAAGCATAAGGGATAAATTCAGAAGCAAAAAACAAATGAGAGAAGATAAAAATAGGCCTAATTGGTGAAGTTTTTGGTAAAAGCAGGTCACTAGAAATTAACAGAACTGAGAATGGCGATCTAAGTGCCTGCAAAATGAGTATGTTAGAAAGGAGCAAACCAATTTACACTGCTGGCTCAGAAATTAGAGAAACCAGCTACTTCAGAGGGTAAGGATGAAGTATAGAGCGGAAAACATGTGTGGTTGAAAGTGTATGCATCAGGCTCCCACGTGTCAATCTTCACCCTCAGTAGCCAGGAGATCACCATTCCTTTACCTTAGATGAAACTAGAGGTTAGAGCTGGGAAAATTTAATCAAGAGGTTCAGATATAGCTGGAGCTGGGACAGCTTTTATAAATAAGGACACCTTTGAAAAAACAGGGACTTAAGGTTGAGGTTAAGACTCCATTATTCTCTTGCCCTGTTCTCAGAACATGGCAGTCAGGTATATATCGGGGTTGACAAAAGTAGGCTTACAGTTGTGAGTACTCAAAGCAGTTTATTCTTATGTATTCAGTAATTATTATATTTATTATTATTATTATTATTATTATTAACCTACTTTTGCTCACCCCTGTATGCTCTAGAGAAGAGATTGGAGCATTTGTCTCTGGGATGAGCCAGCCAGCAGACAGACTTACAGATACTGACTTTTGGGGATAAAAAAACAACTCATTGCCTCATTACCTTGTAGTAAAACCAATCAGTTGGCAAACAACTCTCCCATGTAGACAGAGCTTCTGATTAGCATGTTAGTCCTGATGGATAGCCAGGGCTCATCAGACAGAACTTAAGAAGAAAACAGTACTGAGAAGAAACAGATAAAAATATTTAAAATGTTAAAATATTTAAAATTTTTTGTATCCTTAGTGAAATGAGATATTACAGACAAGAAATTAAAATAGGATACTATTAAAAAGAACATTCAGAGAGCCCTAGCCGTTTGGCTCAGTGGATAGAGCGTCAGCCTGTGGACTAATGGGTACCAGGTTTGATTCTGGCCAAGGGCACATGCCTGGGTTGCTATCCCCAGTAGGAGGCGTGCAGGAGGCAACCCATCAATGATTCTCTCTCATCATTGATGTTTCCATCTCTCTCCCTTTCCCTTCCTCTCTGAAATCAATAATATATATATATTTAAAGAAGAAGAAGAACAGAGAACAAGAAAATTGTTTTGGAAATTAAAACTGTGATAGAAAAATTGTAACTGAACTAGAAATGTTGGAAAGTGACGCCAAAGAAATCTACCAGACAGTAGAAAAGGAAAGGAAATACAATATTGAAAAGAAAACATGATAAAAGATAAACCTAAGAGTTCTAGTATCTAATAAAAAGGACTTTGAGGAGAGAGGGAGGGGGCAGTGGGAAGGACATGGAAAGGCCCCAGCTCAATGAATGTAAAAAAAAAAGGGGCCACTCGAAGAATAAAGAACAACTATAATTTTTCATGAAACAAAAACAGGCCACATAAGAAGATTGGGAATTAGTATGATGTGGACTTTTTGACAGCCCCACTAGAACAGTGGTAATGCCCTCAAAATTCTGAGGGCAAATCATTTTCCACCTAGAATTTTATCAGTCAGTTCAGGTTTTTCCATTTCTTCCAATGTTGACTTTTAGGTTACTGAATAAGACAGTGTGCCTGTTAATATTGTAGTCTTAAAATAATTTATTTGTAAAATGCCATAAACTGCTTTAGATTTTTATAAAGGAGCAAGAATAAAGAAGCCAAATTGCATATATTTTGTTTTTATTTTGTTAATTATTAAAGTATCATAAATTTTTTTTATTGCTCTATTTCTTCTAAGCTCTTCCAGGATTGAGAATTGTGAAGCTTAAAGATATCTTTTCACTTAAACCTAAATATTGTATTCTCTTTCCTTCCTCTTATTTTTCTTTCTACTCAGACTGCTTCTTCAAAATCATGGATAAAATATGATACATTGTAGGGTGGGGAGGGAAGATATAAAATTTTTACAAGTGATTAACCTGTAAGCTTTAGATTGCTAGGTTAGTGGAGTAGTAGTTGGTAAGTGAAATTGGGAAGATTGCTACTTAAAGGTTTTTAACTAATTTTAATATTTACATAAATGTGGTCCTGCTTATAACTTTTGAGAAATTGAATCATATATGTTTCAAAATACAGAATACGTTTTCCCTTTTCATATTTGAGGCAAGTACCTAAATTATTCAAAGTAAGGCAACAATCAATGTCATAATGAAATTAGATTGATACATGGGAAAAAGAAACCAGAGTTTAATTGAAAGTGTTTCTTTCCTTTCCCCCGAGTCCTGAGTATGTTATCTGAAAGGAAATGGGAAGTGAGGACTAGCTTGAATGCAGTGCCACAAAGGGCCTGGTGACCTTACAGCTACCTAGCAGAATGTCTGTCCTATCACTTTAGTAATGGAAGGCGGACTCTTGACCAGTATTGCTGAAATTTCCAAAGAGAAGGGGAGTGGGTTCTGCCTTTTCTGTTTCACACACCACTTTAACTTATTTTTCTCCTTTCCCTGTTTTGTCTTTAGGTCTTATAATCAATGGATAAAGTGGGGAAAATGTGGAATAACTTCAAATACAGGTGTCAGAATCTCTTTAGTCATGAGGGAGGAAGCCGTAGTGAAAATGTGGACATGAACTCCAACAGAAGTTTGTCTGTCAGAGAGAAAAGCATCAGTATAGGAGACTCAGTGCCTCAGCAACAAAGCAGTCCCTTAAGAGAAAATGTTGCCTTACAACTGGGATTAAGCCCTTCAAAGAATTCTTCAAGGAGAAACCCAAACTGTGCCACTGAAATTCCTCAGATTGTTGAAATAAGCATTGAAAAGGATAACGACTCGTGTGTCACCACAGGATCAAGACTTGCAAGAAGAGATTCCTACTCTCGACATGCCCCGTGGGGTGGGAAGAAGAAACATTCCTGTTCTACAAAGACTCAAAGTTCACTGGATACTGATAAAAAGTTTGGTAGAACTCGAAGTGCACTTCAGAGGAGAGAGAGGCGATACGGTGTAAGCTCCGTACATGACATGGACAGTGTTTCCAGCAGAACTGTAGGAAGTCGCTCTCTGAGACAGAGGTTGCAGGATACTGTGGGCTTGTGTTTTCCTATGAGAACTTACAACAAGCAGTCAAAGCCTCTCTTTTCTAATAAAAGAAAAATACACCTTTCTGAATTAATGCTTGAGAAATGTCCTTTTCCTGCTGGCTCAGATTTAGCCCAAAAATGGCATTTGATTAAACAGCATACAGCCCCTGTGAGCCCACATTCAACATTTTTTGATACATTTGATCCATCCTTGGTTTCTACAGAAGATGAAGAAGATAGGCTTAGAGAGAGAAGGCGGCTTAGTATTGAAGAAGGGGTTGACCCCCCTCCCAATGCACAAATACATACATTTGAAGCCACTGCACAGGTTAATCCCTTATATAAACTGGGACCAAAGTTAGCTCCTGGGATGACTGAAATAAGTGGGGACAGTTCTGCAATTCCACAAGCTAATTGTGACTCAGAAGAGGACACAACCACGCTGTGTTTGCAGTCACGTAGGCAGAAGCAACGTCAGGTATCTGGAGACAGCCATGCCCACGTCAGCAGACAGGGAGCTTGGAAAGTCCATACACAGATTGATTATATACACTGCCTCGTGCCTGATCTGCTTCAGATTACAGGCAATCCCTGTTACTGGGGAGTGATGGACCGTTATGAAGCAGAAGCCCTTCTTGAAGGGAAACCTGAAGGCACATTTTTGCTCAGGGACTCTGCACAAGAGGACTACCTCTTCTCTGTGAGCTTCCGTCGCTACAACAGATCCCTGCACGCCCGAATTGAACAGTGGAATCACAACTTTAGCTTTGATGCCCACGACCCATGTGTATTTCACTCCACCACTGTAACGGGACTTTTGGAACATTATAAAGATCCCAGTTCTTGCATGTTTTTTGAACCGTTGCTTACTATCTCACTAAATAGGACTTTCCCTTTTAGCTTGCAGTATATCTGCCGTGCAGTAATCTGCAGATGCACTACGTACGATGGAATTGATGGGCTCCCTTTACCATCAATGTTGCAGGATTTTCTAAAAGAGTATCATTATAAACAAAAAGTTAGAGTTCGCTGGTTAGAACGAGAACCAGTCAAGGCGAAGTAAATTCTCCTGTCCTATATCTGCTTTTATGTGCATCAGACAGTACACCTATAGCAAGCACACATATCAGTGTTAGGTTTTTTTCAGTACAGTATGTAAGCTTAGTGTCAGTATCTGTCAGAAGTGTTAGTATCTGTCAGATGCGATCTGCTGTTACTCAGAAAAACATGGTCGCTATTGAGACAACAGAAGATAGAACTGCAGGTGTTCAGTAAGGCTACAAATATAGTTTGCCGAATTAGCTGTTTGGTTTTTAATGGCTGAAGTAATTGAATGAGGCAATTCTGAGGCATTTGCTATGAAGAATTCTATTTCTTACTAAAGAACAAATTGTTAATATTGGATGAGTATTTCAACAGTGTGATTAATGTTTGAAATTATTATTTTTTCTAAGAATTTTTTTATAATCTTCCAAAAGTAGTGATGTTTGTAGTTACTATAAATCAAGCTTTGGAAATCCAAAAATAAAGACTGCCTTCCTTTTAGAAAAAATTAAAAAATAAATGCAGTTTTCTGGCCACAAGGGCATAGTGCAGTTACTTAAGTGTTGATATTGTTTATAGTTAGTCTTTTTCTCTTCTGCAAAAGGTACTGTTAAGTAAACCAGTTTTTCTAAATAGTAGTTCTTAAAATTTCAGACTTATAAAGTTTGTAGGAGAATTTTATTTAAAGGCCTTAGGTGTTAATTTTTTTAATGAGTGCTTTAACTTAAAACATATTGGGAATAGCTGCTGCAATTTAGTCCTTTGTATGATGTTTAAAGTTGACATATGCACTCTAATTGTTGATTTATTAATGTTGGATTTTTTCCTATGCCCATGACAAGTTTGTGAACCATGAAGAAAATGAGACTAGAAGATGCCCAAACAAGTCAGAAATAATAACTACAGTGATTGCTGATGTTGAGGTTATTGTTAAACTGTAATTTGGATGGCAGTATTTATCTCTTTGTTGTAAATGCTCATAGCTGAATTGCTTAAAGTACAATTTACAGAATTTCAATGGAATTGAATTTCATTTTTAATGGAAAATCTGAAATCTAAGTTGCAGATTTAAAAGGTACTGTACAACCATTGTATCTGTAAATAACTTTACTTAGCACCTTTTGGTCAATTGGAATAGTATGCAATACTACTTGAGTGAGCTATTTTGGAAGTAATACCAAGTTCTAGTGTTTGCTTCTTAGCATTGAACTGAACTTACAGTTCTGTCCTAGACATTTTGCACTAAAGTAGTGGAATCCATTCTTGTGTCGTTTTGTTCATGTGCTCTGTACCACTGGTGAGTGCTCCTTAGTTCCCTTACCTGCTGCTACAGAAAGTTATTTTACATGATGGCTTATTGCCAAGGCTACAAAAAAGAAAAGCTATATTTGTATGCAACACTAACCCTTTGACTGCTAATGTATGTTTCTCTGCTTGCTGTGCCTTGTTATGGCTGCTTTTTTGTGCTAATAAAGTATGTTTGGTGTTCTCCTTGTATATCTACTGTTTTATACATTTCCAACAATTTCTCTTGTAAATGGAATGGATTGGGGTTTTTAAATAAGTTTTACCTGACAACCTACTATAGTCAATGCAGAATTACTGTACAGTCTAATATTGACTTATTCTGACTAAACTAACTCTAAATGTAATGCTATACATCTTTCCAATCATCACATATACTGTGCAACACTATAGTTACTGCAAATTACTGTGCAGTTTAGATTATAACAAAATGAACAGAGAAATATTGATTAAACCTGTTGATTTCTCTGCTTTTATGTGAAAAATAAAAACTGTCAATGACATGTCATAGTAAATAAGTATTTCTAGCCTCCCACTGCACCAGAAGCAGGTTAAAAGAAGTCTTATGAACTAATACATCAGCGTCATTTATTGGTTTGGGGACCATTTTAATTAACAAATGCCCAAAATATAGAACTTTAACCAAAGATTTATCTATTTTAAAGCAAAATGGGAATTGAAGGAACTTAATAATTCCTGTTATTCCTAATAGAAGTCCCTGAAGAACATATACCAAAGTGTTTGAGAACTTCATCCAAACCTACTTTACAGCATTATGTGCAATTAAGTTGTTATGACATAATTATATTGCATAATCGTTGGGTTCATTTTCTTGAGCTGATCATGTACCTGGGAAATAAACCTCTTGGAAATGAAAAGTTCTTACTGCTTTTTGGAGACAGACTATATGTGCAAGCAAGATCTTGTTTTAAAGAGGTAACTTGAAACTCCAAGAAAGCACTTCGTATTTTATATGCTTGTAGCAAATCAATGTTCTAATTGTAGTTTTCTAGAAAGTATTAATGCATTTATGTATTTCAGAACTTTAAATGTTAAATGGAAATTGTTTTAAATGTGTAAATATTTGAGTTTCTGTAAGCATGTATACACTGTGCTAAAAGTCACTTATGTTTCAGTTTGTATGTAATATTAATATGCAACTTTTGATTTAAAAATTTTTTCTTGAAATATTAGTGGCTTACATTTTAAAAAAGAAAAATCACCAGCATGAAATTACACCGAAGTCTATATTCACTGTGTCTTTTTCTGAATCCCATTGTAGTCTGTCAACTAAATTTGTGTTTTCATGGTCTTTTTGAAGTGTACTTTAATACAAACCAGGAAATTCTTTAGAAGTTTAGGCACATCTTCATAGTGAAGTAATTAACCCAAAGACAGATGACTCTGATTCATATATATTCTCATTCTTTCACTCACTCATTCACTTGTTCATTTATTCTCTCTGTATATGCATATATGTACACATACATACATACATTTGTGGTGTTAATATTACTTTAGACAATATTGCCATCTGATTTTAAGTCATTTAGAGGCCTTATTCCATATATATGTGCATATACGTGTGTGTGTGTGTACATATATATAGATATGTATGTGTGTGTGTGTATATATATATATATATATATATATAAGCCAAGCGACCAGAATGCCAGAACA